AGGTGGCAGCACTGCTTGAAACAGATGATGTACTTAAGGGAATTGTTTTATTTCTAAATTGTGAATAGGAGGTGAGGTATGGCCATCATCACTCGGCCAAAACATCTACGAAATTGAAGGTATGAAATAATAATATGAAAAAGCGTCAAAGAAGAATAAAAGAATAAACAGAATAAGAAGAAAAATAAGAAAAATATAAAACAACAACAACAATAACAACAACAACAAAAACAACGATACGAAAAGAGAATAGATTATTCTTGATAATAGAAAAAAAAAGAATTAGGATGGAGGAAATAATAGTGACACTGTAAATAAAAACAAAAAAACACACGTCTAGATAGGTAATATGAATGTTCTAGTTGACCATAATATAAAAATAAAAGAGACTGAAAAACTGGCAAAATATATGGAACTTTACCAATAATCTGAAAATATATATCTTAGATTGTAAAAACAATTATCAGCATGATTGTCAAATTCATGAAGATCACCCAACTCGAATTAAAATTCCACATCTCATCGATATATTCAACGTGAATAGATTTTATCGAATCCATCATGTCGCTGTTACAATGAATAACAAAATAATCTCAAATTAAATGAAATATTACTATTGGTACAAATCATTTTTTCTTTTTTATATTTATATTTTTTCTTTTTATTATTATAATTATTATTGTAATAATAATAATAATAAATAAATAAATTGACATGGCAGTGCCTGCATCGTGCAATGTATCTTTAAAAGTATTTAAGATACAAGGATCTCGAAGTGGAATTCTAAAAAAAAAAAAAAAAACGCCATATGAAAACATCAATAATTCCAGTCGTTTTTTGTTTGTTTGTTTGATGGTTTGTTTAGAAGCGGAATCATCCCAAGCAAGGCAGTCAAGCCACTAAAATACAAGGGGTTACAGGTTGTTGAAAAATTAATAACAGAAAAAAACAATGATGAGCAGAAAGACAAGAAAGTAATTAGGTGGACATCAGATAGTGATTGACATTGCATTGAATGTTTTGAAGTTTAAAGTTGGCTAGAAAGCATGAGAGGAAACTGTTAGCATAGAATTTACGGCTATATCTAACCAGCTCAACTGCAAATTGATGAGATTTCGACGTCATTCTAGTGCTGCGTATGAATGAAAAAACTCTATGTACCATAGCGAAGAGCTCATAGGAACAATTACGATGACACTGTTTAAAGAAAAGGCACAGAGAGGCTACCTTACGGAGGAAAGAAAATGTCTGGAGTTGAGCCACCAGACCAGGACCAATAATATTGCAAACTCTTCTTTGGGTCCTATCAAGTAGCTCACGAGCAGGGAAACTGGACCAAATGTTGCAGGAATATTCTGAGTATGGACGAACGGTGGATATATAGATATATAAGATGGATTCTGGAGAGAAAAATTGTGAACCGATTTTCTTAACAACTGGCCTAGCAATGGATTCAATATAGTCTTTCCACTTCATATCAGGTGGAAATCTTAGCCCGAGAAGGCGCAACGAATCACTCTGAAGCCATCTTTTGCCCCATTTAACTATGGACTTGAGGTTGCCACTTTTCACCATATCATATTGATAAGCCTTACTATCAAGACAGGTGTAAATGTTTGTCTCGTCAATCTAGATACCAAGTTGGGAGCTGGTGTCAACAGAAAGGTCATTAATGAAAATTAAATATGGAGTAGGAACAAGGATGGAGCCCTGGTGGACACTTGCGTTAGAAGGAAAGGATCTAGACGTGTGGGCGTTCAGGATAACAGTCAATCACGACTTGATAAGAAATACTGGATAAGTTCAAAAAATATATTAGTTGTAGATTTTTGACGAGTTCAGTGAATATATAACTCAATATACAGATGGACAAACAAATGAATTAACGAATGAATGAAGTTATATATATATATATATATATATGTGTGTGTGTGTGTGTGTGTGTGTGTGTGTGTGTGTGCGTGTGTGTAACCTAGAAAAGATTACTGAATTATGAATAAATAAAGCGGAGGCTGGAAATGAAATGGTAATCTTTATAACATCAACAAAATACAATACTCTCCAGCGGCGGGAAGGAGGTAAACCACTGCTAGTGGTAAACTACTTAAACAGCATATTGCTCCCACTTACAATAGTGTACAACGTATATATGAGGATTGGGATATACCCATTAAGTACGGTATATAAAACACACACACACACACACACACGCAAATATATATATATATATATATATATATATATATATATATATAATTTTATGCAAACAAATACATTATCGATAATCTTGTATTTTTAATATACTCCGATAAATACTATCACTGACTTCTTCAAATTAAACAATAAGCAAAATATTATTTACTTTTCCAATTAGCAGGGATGTTTCATTTAATCTTATTATCTTAAAAATAGTAAACATTATTATTGTTATTACTATCATTATATTTCGATTTTTACAATGGTTACATTACCTACTACGTCTGCGGGGAAATCTAAGGCAGGTAGTGGTGTGCTTTCATGGCTACATTTCATAATTTAATTTTCCAACTTCCATAACATCACCAGCGTTACAATGTTCTTCTTAGTGTTTGGGCTGTACTTATCAAGACAATGTTTATATTTTTTTAAACTGTGGTTTCCAGGGATGTTTTTCAATGTGTTATTGTGTTCTTTTTTTTATCATTCCAAGCGCACCTGCTATGGCTGGTAGTATTCTTGTTTTTAATTTTCATATTTTTTCTATTTCGATTTCTAGGTCCTTATACTTCGATAGATATTCAAATTACTTATTTGCTATGGTACAGTCCATTGATTGATATGGCTTATCAATTAATAGGCATTTTTTTTTCGGTTTTTGACATTTATGTCCGACTGATTCTCTGTGACTTCGCTTGAATTTGTTGTTTCAGCTTCTCATTAACTTTTGGTACATAGGTTTAATTCTTTATTTCAAGACTTCGTTTCAGTTGTCTCTTTTTTCTTTCTTTCATTTATGAGCCCTTGTCTATTTGACTTAGAAATGACAATTGTCCTCGTAGTTTATTTCGGTTTCTATTTTTTCTTTGCATTCTGTTATACTTAGTTTGTATTTACACATACGTGGGGGCTGGTTCGTGGGTGCCAGAGCATATCCATAACATGGTGGGACATCAAATTCAAACGGACAGACCTCCTGCTGCTACTTTTTTCTTTTACTATAGCTATTATTAAAAACAACGGTAAAATTTTTATTTATAAACATTTGGATCCCAAGGAGCCATGACGGGCTTCAGGAGAATCCAATATATCTTCATTTTTCAACGGAATTTTCTTTGACTTTTTCACCTTTTCTCTCTGATGTTCAATAATAGGAAACTATAATCAAATCTCTCTAATACTGTTATTGAATGAATATATTTTACCCCAAAATACAATTAATATATAGATACTGATAATATTTAAAAAAGAATTTATTGTAAGTGTTTGTATTGTATGGCTTATAAAATAAAAATGGTATATAAGTTACTAATATATAAATAAATATCAATAAACCATTCAGAAATAACTATAAATCACTATCAGCACAATCACCACCATTATCACCACTACCAACATTATTATTATTATTATTATTATTATTGCATTCATCTTTGTTACGTTTTTCTTTTTCCTAGATCTTTTCTTTCTTTCTTTTTCGTTTTTCCTACTTTTTCCTTATTTTTTCTCTTTCTTTTTCCTATTATCACTAATATGATTCTAATAACTGTTCACAGCTCTGCCCGAATCAGGAAATAAAAAGATTTGCATCAAAGATTAGTAGGTAGTAGGTATCGATTACATAACAGGTATAGCAAAAAATAATATAACTTAGTAACATGTCCTTAAAATTAAAATATTATTAATCTAATAATTTAATTCAATTTGAGGCCATATACTAATCAATGTATATATATATATATATGGATACATACATACATACATACAAATGTATATATATATATATATATATATATATATATATATATATATATATATATATATATGTACAACACTATTTACATTATTGTCCTCATCTTTGTTGCCATATTTATCACAGCGTTTTTTTGTATTTGTAAAATAAGTGTATTCTTAGGTAGAAAACACTTATTTTACATTGATAACGACCTTCGTAAGATAGAAGCTGTGCTTGTGAGAACAATTTAAAAAAAATTATGACATGGATTACCATGGATCTCTTCAATAAAGAAGATTTGTCAATCAAATCCAGGGTCCAACACCTATAAATAATCAACGATATATTGATAATTTAAATAATGCATTATGTATTTTTAATAATATAATATATATTTATAATTATGATAAAGCGATTTTCTTTTGTTTTTACTGTTGACTGCTACCGCACCTGTTAATCAGATTAGTTGTTAATTAAAAATATCATTGTTGTTTTAACAAAATTAATTGTCAAATATGTAATGGAAAAAAGTTAACATTCAGTTAATAAAGTTTAGAATTCATACAAAGGAAATGGATCATTTTTTTCTTGAAATTTAAAATAATAATAATCATAATAGTATCCTTTTTATGTTTTGTTTTATTTCACATTTGTTTACAAAAAAATTCATTTTAAAATCTCAGGATGACATTTCTAAACTTAGGTCTCTGGTTGGAACCCTGAAGGAAACTATTGTGAAATTTGTTGGACAGTATTGTAAGTGAGGGTAATATGCTGTCTAAGTAGTTCACCACTGACAGTGGTTTACCTACTTCACTGCGTTAACCGATGCTAACTCGTAGCTTATTCCAGTTTAGAAGGAATTATACACCACTCTAATTCTGGGTAGAAAGTTCAAGTGTCGCACAAATACACAAGTAAAATAATAACGATGTCAGAACATGTGCTTTTTAAATTTCCTTCAAGTATTTTCAAGTAGTTTCAGTTTTCATATATAAAAATGGTTTTAACGTGTTTAATTTTATTTACACATATATGCAAAATGTATAGTGTCATGATGTATACGTACCTCCCGATTATGAAGGATATCGCTATAACTGTAGCTAACACTGCGACTGTTAAAAACACGTAGGAAACTACATTTTCTGCAAAAGAGAAAAAAGAAGAGTGACAAACGTTACTTAAATAAATCTCAGAAAGTAATGTTTTAATTGATGTACAAAGTTATACATACCCGTTAGGATTTTGTTAAGACGATTTCCTTTAATAAATTAATGTCTGATGTTTGTTAGGACGAATTTTTTTGAAGCAAGCATGAATGATTGCTTTTTGTGTTTTTTTTTGTTTTGTTTTCGAGGAAAAACATGATTACTTTCGATAAAACAGCAATAAAGAAAACGAAAGAAATTTTACTGGAAATCAAAAAAATAAAGAAACAGAAAAATGACGTAAATTCATACTGGGAATGGTTTCGGAAATCTGCGGAGAATTTGTTTCCTTTTATTGAATTCGCCTACAACAGATATTACGAAATGAAACATTTTCACAGGTCTACAAAAGTTTATTCCAGCAATAAAAACTGACATATTAAATGAAAATTCATAAAAACGAGGGAGTTACAATAATATATATCACAGTGAAATGATGAAATACTGAAATATAATGATTAAAAATAGCTAAACTGGAGAGAACCAAAAATATGTACATCTAAATGTGCGCATTTCGAAATAAATACTACTACTACTCAAAAAGTTGTCCACTCGTATTCGAGGATACCCGTCTACTAGGGCGGCTAGCCAATCCCTATTGCGGACGCTTTCTCCGGCGCATTTGTGTTTATTCAACACCCACAGAGCCCAGCTATGGTTTATACTGCAGTTATACTAATTAGACCTTAGTTACAGTTTCTGGGAAAGAGCGTATTATCAAGAATTTGACCAAGGCCAGCACACTCAAGCCCTCGGCCACGATGACTTGCGACTTTGTGCTAGCACAGCTATCGACGGCACTCAAGGATTCCGTCTGCCCAATTTTACTCAAAAGGTTTGGGTCACCCGTGGTATGGTTTTCAGGCACTTTCCAAAGCGGGGCGCACGCTGGGATCGGCCCGATAACATCAGGAATTTTCCTTCCTGACAAATTGACTATGGTGAGATTCGAACCCCGGTCTCATTGTTAAAATGCGAACGTTCTAACCATACGCTCCTCCTCCTCCTCCTCCTCCTCCTCCTACTACTACTACTACTACTAATAATAATAATAATAATAACAGTAATAAGATTAATTGTGAAAGACATAGATATAAATAGCCAGAAATACAGTAAAAATAATAAAGAAGGATGCTAAAACACAGGCGCTGAACTGTTTTAAAAAGACATGCGTACTGAAATTTCAAAATGGCCGATCACAACTCATTATTTCGATATTGATAAATAACAGAGGCTAAAGAGTGTGACTATAAGCGGAGCTGGAGTAATTTATACTGACTGTACAAACCTATTTACCAAACATTACCAAGTAAACATAAAAGAAATGATGAAGACTGAATTTGTAGATTATGCGAAAACATGTTGAGGCTATTGACCACACAGTGTCTGGTTGTCCAAAATCGATACAAGAAGAAAGGCGAAAATTGGTCAGTATGGTCATTAGATAATATGTTAATATAATTAGTACGTTACATACTTGAAAACAGCATGCACAACAATCAGGATTAGTTATAGACACGAATTTACAATTCTTTTGGACTTTACCATTCACACTGACAAGCAATAATAAATAACAGCTAAGAAATGAGATATAGTGATTAAAATCTGCAAACAAAATAGACCATTATATTAGATATGGCAGTGCCATTAAATAGAAATATATTTCTTAAATAATATGATTAAATAAATATAAGGTTTTTGGAATTGTACTAATAAGCTGACACATTAAAACTATTGTCAAACTAATAATATTTAGAGCAGTGGGTAGGGTTAAAAGAGGAACAGAAAAGAACATTAAAAAATCCCAGACAGTCTATTCAAAATGATTTAAAACAACTGCGCTGCTCTACACTTTAAAAAAATATTTCAAACCAAGCAATACAATAAAGCCACTAAGTGTGTGGGATAATATAAGAAAGCAAAAAGTATTAAAAAGCGAGAATAATAAAAGAAAATGAATTAAGAAGACAAAAAAATAACGGATGCCATTGCATTTAAGTCTTTGATGATCAAAGTTGACTGGAAAGTAAGAAGCTAGAAAAGTATTCTACAAGCGAAGGATGCCAGAGAAAGTATAGACCCTACGGTTACATCTTGCAATTCCAACAGTAAAATGATGGGACCTTGCCGTCAATCTCGTATTGCGCTTAAATTCACGAATCTAGGTATCCAACAGGAAAGCACATTAGAACAATTACCGAATATTTATAGAAAACACACATAGAAACTACGCTACAGCAGTGAGAAAGTGACTGAAGACGAGATGTTGGGTCAGGACCAAAAACATTGCAGATTCTTCTTTGTATTTTATCAAGAATCTCTAAATACATAGCAGAATCACCACAGGCTTATTATCAAGGGAAATAAAATATAAACAATGAATATGTTAATTTTCATGTAACATAAGTATTTGTGCAAAGAGAATATATATACTACATTCCATTACCTTGTTCTTAGAAGAATACAATAATAATAATTATAATACCCCAAAATGTAAAAGCAGGATGACAGATGAGACCATGACGATAAATTATCAAAAATGCATCAGTCAGTCAGTTATGTTCTATGCGTGATACACGCTTAGGCGATCATGTATCTTTAATACATGACTGACGCGGCAGATTGTTGCCCGCAGAACGTTGCCATTTCTTTCTGCCGTAGACCAGTTGCCATCGAAAGCTATAGAAACCGACTGCCTGCTATTTACCTATAGCTTGTAGGGGGAGTAGAAGAGGATAAATACCTTTCCCAAGGCTATTAGCACATAAGTGAATGTAATGGCTTCGACTGGAATTCGAACTCGGCTCTACGATTCCTCAATGCGAGCCGCTATCCATTATTTCGCAGTAATTGAAATACATGAAATAACGCAAAGGAAGGTAGGTATAAAGTATCTCGACACAGAAAGGTGGGGATTCTAGACAGGTAATGGGGTGGTGTGTAGAAAAGTGCAGAGTATAATATGAGTGTAGTTGACCAACCTTAGAATATCAGAAACAAAGAGATTTGATATAAATCAATTCAGCTATAGTATATACAGAATACAAGAACATGACAATAACTATTGACGGAGGTTATAAATGATAGGGACTATTGTGGACGCAAATCATAGGTTTACACAGATGACACGAAAAGGGCCAATGGAATATCTCATTATTGTAAGCCAGAATAAATATATCATAATTATATGATCTCAAAACAGGCGAACACAGAATTTATATGATGTCAAAATAGGTGAATACAAAAAATATATGATGGCAAAATAGGTGAACACAAAGAAATTATATGATGGCAAAATAAATGAACACATAGAAATTATATGATGGCAAAGTAAGCGAAGACAAAGAAATTATATGATGGCAAAATAGGTGAACACATAGAAATTATATGATGGCAAAATAGGCGAACATATAGGAAAAACAACAGTAAATGTCATATATGTGAAGACGGTAAAAGCCAAAATAAGTGAAAAAACAACTCACGGAAAAGGAATAAAAATAAACAGATTGTGCATAAGTGTTATCTAGCAATAAATACTCTGGGTATAAACCAGAAACAATGCTCACGACTAAATACCATAAATATATTCGGGGAACTGGAGTAGATCTATGGCGACAGGACAATTTAAAGAATAATAAACGGATCTTGTTGCTGTGAAGAAAGGAACGAAAGTCTGTCAGATCGTAGTCGTATTAACTACCAGCAGGCCTTGATGGTAAAATAGAATTTAAAAAGATGGAAACTTGCCTGGGTCTTGCTGGAGAAGCTAGGGGACATGAAAGATAGAAATGTACCGTTAATAATTAAAACAACTTCGATCAGGGCCCCCAAAAGACTTTGAAACGAGACTAGAGAAATTAAATATAGCGGATTTTTCTGACCGCAAGAGTACATAGCCATAGATCTGGCAAACCTGGTTGCATCGGTCTGTCGTGTATATATATATATATATATATATATATATATATATATATATATATATATATATATATATATCCACTACTGAGAATCGAACCCGGGCATTAGAAGCTGGATAAAGCAAAGATATACAAGTGATAAATTCAGCTTCTAATGCTCTGGAGTGAGCGGCTTATGGAAAGAAGACGTGATTTTTGGGGCACAATCCGTTGGGTTACGTATCCTTGAATGAATATTACCACGGAATTTATTGAGTAGCGTCAGTCTAGTCAGTTTCTTTTTCGTCACCGAGGCCCGTTGGTCCAGTGATATGACGCTTGCGTTGTATCGTTACGCTAGTGGATGCGCCCTGCTGATGTGTCCCAAATAGGACAAAACGGCCATCCATTGCTTTCTGCATTCTGCAGTCTGTTGAGGATTCTTTTAGACTCGATGACTTACTATAAATGATTATACAAATACCCACAAAAAATTTCTATTACTTGTATATCCTTCTCGATTCAGCATCTATTTCTATGGAGTGACCGGCTTGGGGCAAGAAGACGTGGCTCTTGGAGGACAATCCGTTGCATTATGTATACTTGGATGAGTATCACCACGGAATTTTATGAGTAGCGCCTCTATGTAGTGTTTAGACAGTCTCTGCTCCGCCAGCGAGACCTGTTGGTCCAGTGGTATGACGCTTGCGTTGTATCATAACGGACCGGGTCCATTCTCGGTAGCGGATGCTGATGAGTCACAAAGGGGGTGAAACGGCCGTCCCGTGCAATCTGACGATTTTTCTACACTCGTTGAATAATATATATATATATATATATATATATATATATATATATATATATATATATACAAAGTAACACAACTTTACCCCCACTTAAATTTAATCCCAATATATTACGGAAATTACTATTAGCTTGTACTACTGAAGTCCCTTTCTTAGATC